AGTGATGTGCGAGAGGGTGTTAGGCCAAAGACTAAGTTGTATGTAATATGTGTTATATTATGTTATGTTATGTGTTAGGTTAATAAGATCATGGGTAAGTAGGGGTTGATGACCATGAACAACTGAATGACGATCTTAGGAATAGATCCAAAGTTTGGACTGTCCAATCTTAGGTCGAATTCCAAAATTTTAGAGACCAATTGATTTTAATAAACTTTTAGGATAAATATCTTTTTATCTGAACTGTTTTTAAGCAAATTTTAATGATATATGTTAAGGTGAAACTGACAAGTGTGATATTTGTGACTTCTTTTCTAGATCCTGATTGATCATTTAATTACTCACTTGAGTCAAAATCTTGGAATCAAAACCGAATCAAACTTGAAAGAATAGAATGGATAACTTCAACTTGGATGAATTGATGGACCTGGCAGAGGCATATGTAGGACCGATGATAGATGCGATCTATCGTCGGCTGATCGATCGAGACTTCGCTCTGGAGGACCCAGAGGTAGTCATGTTGCTGACCGCCCTGATCAACATCTTGGGGCACGACAACCGTGGGGACCGCCCCACGGAAGTCCTGTTGATGGCAGCACATGGAGAAAGAGGAGTACTAGACCGCCCGAACATGAGAGTGATGAGGTGGGGAAATGGGGCTCTCTCAGGGAGTGACTTGGCGAATGAGCCTGGATTGGGCAGTTCTAGTACCTACCAACCAGGTGAGATGCCTATGCCCTCCAAGCCCAAACCTGGGTTGACGAGAATGCATCGGGAGATGAACAGCGAGGCGACCTCGTCTGGTTCACCACTGAGAGCAGCTGTGTCACCAAAAAGGGCGAAAGTAGGACAGAAAGTTCAGACGAACCAAACCATGCAAGATCTGGATGAGATGAACGATGAACTGAAAAGTACGAAGAAGGAGCTGGACGAGATGACCAAAAGTATGTTCCAGATGGAGGAAGATCGAGACATGTGGAGAAAGTTGTTTGAAGACTGCAACAAGAAGCAGGGTCAAGAGATTGAGCGCTTGAGGCAGGACTACAAAGAGCCATCGGAACTGATAGCAGATTGCCATGGAGGAACCGAGGTGAATCTAGTGACTGCACTAGGATTCTACAGCATGTTTGGTTCTGTAGAGTGACTATTGAATCTAGAACAGAAACATGAGGTGGTCACAGCCATCAGTGTAGAAGTATTCCCAGGAGTTCTGCAGACTGAGCAGAAATACATAGGAAAATGGAGGGAAGCAATCGAGACGGAAATGAATATCAGACACAGTGAGACTTATTGTAGACCATCAGGAGCACGGTATTTGGTGGGTTCAACATGGCTCCAATGTGCAAGAGCAGATACCCTGTACATTTCGTGGCTGTGGACGCAAAGAGTACAAGAACGATCGTGGATCAAGCCTCATCAGTGCCGAAGTGTGTGAGACTGGCGAGAATGTCCGAGAAATCCTACGAGTTGCTATGTAAGATGTTCTCAGCAGTTCCGGAGAGAACCAAAGAAGAATTGGAGTCAATACTAGAAAAGAAGTTCATGGGATATGTGAGCGGGAATTTCAGTGACTTTGAGTGACAAAAACAGAGTGGATCAACTGTCACAGATTACAATGCAGTAGATGAGAATGATGAGGTCCACCGAGTGATGATGGAAGTGGAACCATTACTGGATCCACTTCCATCATTGTCACAGATTACAATGCAGTAGATGAGAATCATGAGGTCCACCGAGTGATGATGGAAGTGGAACCATAACTGCTTGCTGCAGACCTGGTGGTACCCCAAGCGTAGTAATCTGACGTTGATCTGGGACTCTGGAGAGCTGCTCTCCATGGGTTTACCAGACTCATCACAGCCCGTAACAATAGTGATAGTGGGAGTTATGATGGCGATACGATGGCTGGAAGCTCATGTGAGAGAAAATAACAGACAGGAGGCACCGACGAGAGAACAGTTGCAGAAGTTAGATTGTCTAAAAGATTTAGATCTTTTTGAGACAATGTGCAAAGTTCTAAACATTCCGATGGAAGTAAAGAAGATATGGGCAAGAAAACGATTGATGCCATGGTTCAGAGCTAACATGACTGCATGGTTGTACGAGTATGCGAAAACGCATATGTCGAAGCACGGCAGGGTGTACAGTGAAAATCAGCTGGACCTTGGAGCAGGAGCTTTCAAGCGAACTCTCGTGACTCATCGGAATGCAGTGACCACCGCTGTGAAAAGAATTTCCAGGACGAGTGAACGTAGTGGAAAGGAGAAAGCAGAGATGCTGAAAGAATATTTGGAGAGAAACGTGACGTTGTGTCTCCACAACAGCTTCTGCAGGAACAGAGAATCTAACGTGGATCCGCTACCTTGCTGCAAACAGAGGGTGGAAGAGCAGAAGTGTTGGAGGACGGCTTCCGGCAGCGTCAGGATAGCTAACGACGTGTTGCAAGATACGGAAACTGAGAGTGCAGAGTCAGTATCACAGGAGGAAGAAATGGAGTATTGACGGATGACCGAAAAGCAAGATGGAAAAAGAGACAAAAATTAGAAGAATTTAGAAGTTTTAGAACTTCTAAACGACGAAAGAAGAAGAGAACAAAGGAGTAATGAAGAAAAAGCTAAAACTCAGAATTGTTTTATGTGTGTGAAAAAACTCAAGTGAGAAACCAAGCAACCAAGTTGTAATTGAAAACTGAAAGATTTAGTTGAGTTTTGTAATTGTTGCATTTATAAATTTGCATTTTGATTTTAGTCGAGTGGTTTTAGAGACACTCACTTACTATTTATTTAGAAATGCTCAAGTGAAGGAGTATATTTAAATATTCCAGCCTGCGTGACTGTTTTTCAATCTCTGCAGAATTCGAATTTTAGCAGCGAGCCTTCCGGATTGGTGATTATTAAGATTTAAGAACGTTATTTGAACGATTGAACAAAACGTGAAGGTTAAAGGATTCGGGAATTGCTAATTTTTAAAATATCGAAGTGATTACGTAAGATTTCTGAGAAACGTCAGAAACGGTCATTTTAGCAAAAAGAACTAAGAAAAACATTAGTTGCGCGGACGATAAGTACGAAAATTGTGAGAAAAAACAATAGCAGATTGCAGGAATAGCAGTGAACACTCCGAGTTGCAACTATTGTGTCGCTACAATAGTTGCAAGGCTGTTGCAGACAACGGTGAAGGGTGGAGGACAGCCTTCCGGATTAAGAAGAAATCAAGATTAACGAGCTTGATTCAGTGGATTCAAGAATCCGGAAGGGTTTCGGAACTGAGACTTTTATTCTTTTATATAGACTTTTAGCTTCTTGTCATGTCCTGATTTGAATTTAATTAACAACTGGATTCATTTTGATAAGGATGAGAAGCTAGGAGTTGGGGGAAAGGATTGATCCATCTTCGATGGAGATGATGATTTTTATCTACTGAACAAAAACAATAGTAATATAATAAGTAGTCGCCCTGTTTTTAGGAGTGACCTCGTGGTGTGGGGATACTGAGACCCAGCCATGAGCTCACTATTTCTGCATGTAATTAAGTTAATTTGAGTGTTTTGACCGAAGCCGAAAGCAGTAACGTTTTGTCGACCCGATGTTAGAAAAGACCACCAAAAAGTACAGGCATGGTAAAGACGGTGAAAAGCATGCAAAGCTCTGTTTAGACGTTAGCCAGTCGTCTTAAGACTTAGTTTTGTTTTCCGTCGATATGTATCTTCAGGGCGAATGTTACATGCCTTCTGTTTCGAATAAGACAGCTCTACTCTCGTTCGAATTATGTATCGGAAATTGCGAATAGCAATTTCCCGCTGCTATTTTTGACTACTTTCTCGCGATTGTAGTTTGATTCTTCTCATCTTATTTTCTGATATTTTTCAGTTGTCGCGAGAAACTGGAGCATGACATGCTCAATTCAAATTTTGGAAAAATTCCATTTCACCCCAAAATCATGTCTTTTGCGTTGCTCAAGGCCAAACTTTCAAATATGACCGACTGGCACATCTAGAATATTCCGACCCTCCTTTTCTTAATCAATTTGATGCTAACGTCCTTAACAACAATTTTGCTTGCGTCGGCGGGTTTGACTGTGACAATCCGCGGGAATGGCACATACTTACCGGACAGTCCCTTCTATGTCCCCATTGAACGCATAATTCAATTTTATTTTCAAGCGGTGATCCGGTGTTCTATAATCAACTTACTAATCGCATCAGAAATTAAATTTTATCCACGTCATCTCAACTCACCGCGTGTCACAAATGGCATCGGACTACATTTCTTTGCCTTCAATATTTTTACGAAATATGCGGTCACAAAATCTAACAACTTGGTGTTGCACCCGAGTCGAGATTTTTCACCTAATTTGAAGCAAGGTTTGAGCGGTTTTTTTTAGACGATTGCGCTTGAAATCTTGCTTCAAAATGAGCGTTTTTTGAACGGTTTATCTAAAAAACCGCGCAAGGTTTAAACGGTTTTTGAGCTGTTTATCTAAAAAAACCGCGCAAGATTTGAGCGATTTTTTAGCTTTTCTTAGGTAAAACATTCAAAAACCGCTCATTTTGAAGCAAGATTTTGAGCGCAATTGTCTAAAAAAAACGCTCAAATCTTGCTTCAATCCGATAAACGTTATTTCGGACTAATCGTACGTTTTTCGCCTTACATTCGGTTGAATGGTGTAACATCCTTTCAACTCCGGTTTATTCAGTGCAGGTGTTAGTTTTCTCAATCTGGTTGGCTTGATTCCCAACCATCTGTCTCTCTTTATTTTCCTTCCCGTCATACTTCGCTTTTTCCGAATTTATGTGTTCAATTGGTTTTTTGACTGGGTGAAATGAAGAAGCACTAGTGTATTAAATTCGGTTGCCATGATAGTTTCTGACCTGGTCGAATGGCTTAATAATTATTTCATGATAATCGGCACATGCATTAAGGCTGGTCCCCGTAACAAGCAGCGTTAATTTTATTTTGATAGAAATGATTTTTTTGACGTTTTTATTGCTTTTCAGATATGATAATTTTACTTGGCTTGCTTATTAGCACTCCAGGTGTTTTCGGAAGTGTTGGGTTTGATTTCATCACGGGACCTGAGAATTGCATCGGAAACGAATTTTTCAATTCTGCTGCACGACTATGTATCGAATGCGGTGAAAACACTACAACTACCGATCGTAAGCTGCATTTTAATAGTTCTTTACTCTATTTTGTGAAGGGTGTCTGAATTAATGTTTTCTTCATTTTGTTATAATTAATCATGATTATATCACGGTTGTGAAGAAGAAGAAGAAACGCGTCAATTACTATACGGAATAGTCAATGCATTAGTATAGTAAGAGTGTAAAGTTATTATTAGTTACAAAGTCCTATTAGTAGTGGCTCATGTTAGAATAAAAAAAGTCAATTAAAGTGGGCCCTTCCGCCATGCGACGGTACGTGCACAAGTTGGATAGGGCCGTACCAACGCTATATAAATACATCGGCAAAATTTTATGAATAAATCAAGTCGATATTAATGCACCAAGAGAATTGTCAATTTAAATCTACCCTCCTCGATTATAGCACAGGTAGAATTGTCTATGTTGGATGTATTTTTAAGATTTTTGCACCCCCTAATGCAGAGGATTGCACTCCTCAAAAGTGCAAAACTTATTTTTGTTCTTATTAAGTTTATTGTGTCCGAGTATGATTCGTTCCGTTTCTCGCTTAGTTTCTCTGCTAGTTTCTGGATGGTTTTTGTAGAGCCTGGTGCTGCTCCTCCGGTACACGCAAAAATTAGTGGAACAAAGCTGCTGTGTTCCACATCCAGAATTCTTTGTTGGCATTTTAATGTTATGACACTCTCATGATATTTGTAGGCGTCAAATTTAGTTTTAGGGCAGGATTTAGCATGGGGGTTGAAAATTTTTACATCGAAAAAGGTTCGGCTGAATCGGCCACCCCATAGTCCATTTGCCTTGATGTCGAGTCGAGCGCCATCTTCAGTAGTGGTTGTTTTGTGAAAGCCTGGTGCTGCTCCTCCGGTACACGCAAAAATTAGTGGAACAAAGCTGCTGTGTTCCACATCCAGAATTCTTTGTTGGTATTTTAATGTTATGACACTCTCATGATATTTGTAGGCGTCAAATATAGTTTTAGGGCAGGGTTTAGCATGGATGTTGAAAATTTTTACATCGAAAAAGGTTCGGCTGAATCGGCCACCCCAGAGTCCATTTGCCTTGATGTCGAGTCGAGCGTCATCTTCAGTAGTGGTTGTTTTGTGAAAGCTTTCGCCTTCCAACGATTGAAGTCTCGACTCTATTTCAACATCATGGCATACTTCGTCCAGGAGTGTCGCAAAGGTATCGCGAATTTCATTATGTCTTAGGTGAGTGTATCCACCTTTGGGACAGTGTAGAGAGTGGGCCAGTGTGAACGGTTGTCCACATGAGCATGTGTGTGGGGTGTTTGGTGGTTCCCATCCATATCTCAGATGTAATCCATATTTAAACTGATTTGTTGAGTGAAAAATTGTACCTTCTTAAGGGTAGCACGCTGAGCCAATTCGATGCTCCTTTCTGTGACGAGTTTGTTCCGTTTCAGATATTTCTGGATGACTGTTTTCTAACGGATCACAAATGGCTTGTGACCACTCATAATTTCTGGAAAAGTCCGTGTTACTGAGGAGGTGGTAGTGCAAAAAGGTTGCGATCTTCATCGGTTATATGGTTTTTACACGAAATACTAGGAAGTAGCTGATGTCTTACATTTTTCTCAATTTCATCCATTTTCTTAAATGCTTCCGGATTTGTTCTGGTTAGAAAGCTTAATTTATTTTGAACTACCTTCGTGTAGCAGGAGTACGCATTTTGTGGTGATGTTTTAGTTATTTTGGAAAGCTTTTCAGTTAGGGTAGCGGTCTTTTCAATTTCGCTTCCCTATTTATTGCATGCTGATGGTGTTCCTATAACCGATCCAAGGACTCTAAAACCGTCTACCATTGTAATATTTGTGGCTTCGAATACTTTTATGGCGCTGTCTCGGCGGTTTTTTTACTATGAGTTGACACTTGGAAGGCTCCACATTGTATCCGAAAGCCTTTCGTGCACATCCAGGTTCCCAGTATTGCGCGGAGACTCTTAAGATCACCTGCAGCGCTTCCATCATCTGCATACCATTTTTGAGTGACATTTGGTTTTTGCAGGAGCTCAATCAGTGGGTTTATCCCAATTCCATACATAGCCATTGCGAGGGGATCACCTTGCGTTGTGCCTTAGGTAGATGTCAAAACCGTATTATTGACATACAGATTTGAGGGATGTTTATATGAGTTGGCCAGCGCATGATGTAGCGCCGGACAAAGGATTTCTATAATTTTTAGAGCAAATTCTCTATTGAGCGAGTTGAAGGCATTTCTGCATCAATAAGTAGTATGGCGTCCGTTTCCGGTTTCTCAAACTCGTTTCCCAAGCTGTTGATAGCATATTCGATTCCACACTTCTGGCCTAAGCAGAGATGTAAATTTTTTCCGAGATTTTTAAGGTCTGATTTTATACATTGGGTGATTGTTTTGCCAATTACTCTTCTCAGAACTTCGTCTATACCAATGGGCCGTACCCCTGGATTTTTGTCCAGAGGTTTCAGGCGACACGAGTTGTACGCCGTTAGGTTTTCATTGGGGAGAACTTTAGTTGCTATTGTATAGGATAGTTTAGCAATTGTTTTGCAAAGCTCAATGGATGTCTGGTTGAAGTGAGTTAATATCCTTCTCGATTCGCAAGCATCTAGACCTGAGAGACCGTGGCTTCCGTGCGTTTTCAGGGTGGATTTTCGAACTGTCTTGGCGTTTATTTGTTCGAATGTAGAGGGATGGTATGGCATTGTCTTTTTTTTTGATTCAGTTATATAGTTAGTGTTCGCTGTTTTGGCTTGAGGGTGTTTTTCTCTCAGGATACTAAGGACTGTTTTTCCTTCAATGACTTCGTTTAGGGGAAGTACTCCTTTTGTTTTCTTGTCTGAAAGGCAGCCAATGGCGGCAGATATTTTGCCTGTACTCATTAGTTTATCGAATTGCTTAACTTCCTCGTTTACTTCGGACTTCTTCTAATTTGGATGACTAATTTGTAGAGCTTTCGCTTCAGTGAAAAGTTTGTCTAATAGGCCTTGCTTCCATAAAATTATGCGGCGGCTTAGTGTTTTAGAGTTTGATCTGTTTGATTCTGATTTAGTTTTGGGGAGCAGCAGATGTGGGAGAGTCATTGCTGCTTTCATTGCGACGTTGGAATTTGGTGTTTCTTCTACTAATGACAACAGCTGCTGGTTCAGTATTTCTATGAATTGGAAACCGGGATTCTTCTTGTTTAGAATTATGAAGCGCGGTTTCCAGTTAACGACATTTATATATGCCATTTATTTTTTTTTCAAGTTCTTGGTCGATAAGTTTCCAGGGGTCGAAGGGGGCTGTAGTGATTGCTGGGGGCGATGGATAAGATTTTTTTGCTTTGGGCAGTACGTTTGTTTCAGGTGTTGATGGTGATGTTTCTTTTTGAGTTGTGATGGGGGCTTTGATTGTTGGTTTTTGAGTTGTGATGGGGGCTGTGCTTGTTGGTCTGTTGGTAAAGTTGGGCTCTTTTGCAAAGTTCTCGGGGGTGCATTGTATGCAGGAGAACCCATGGTAATAAAATTTGCTGCTCTGTAGCCCGCTACATGAGACTTGGATGTAAGCTTTGCAAATGACACACCATATGCCTCTTTTTCGGAGGTGGCGTTTGCAAATATGTCAATGCGTTTGTTGGGCCATAATTTGGCAGCGAGGAGGGTTAGCTTATGGTGAATATATACAAGTTAGCTGAGCGAGCAATAAACTGAAGATTTTATTACCATAAAAAAATGAATACCATCTTTACAAAACATATTAGCACTTAAATTAGCGTTTGAATTGGGGGAAATAATTCGGATTCTTGTAGTAAAATGTATTAATAAGGCGAAACAAAGAGTTACTTAGAGCACCATATTTACTGTTTGTGAAGTGATTATCTGCAGAGAGGATGGTTGTGGGGATAATTAGCACATTTGGGTTAAACCTATGAATTATCAAGTTTATTAAAAATCTTCAATCATTAGCAAAGTCTGAAACCGTAGATGAGTTATCATTAAATCCGGCTACTATAGTAACACAGTTCAGTTTCTGCGAGGGGTAGCTTGAGACAGTAGCGGCAAGGTCGGCTAGCTTTGCACCTCTGTACGAGTGAACCGTGGCTCCGACATCTTTGGGGCTGCAGTACTTGGTCCTTCAGGTTCCTATTACCAGTTTCCTACTCCACTTGGGTAGCCACTTCGGCTTGTACTTCGGCACAGACATTCACTAAACAGGATACGAAAGAGGCAAAGCAAGAGAAAGAATAGGTTGTAAAATGGATTGTAGAGAAATAGATTTGAAAATACAAATAACAAAAAAGAAATCAAAGCGATTACAACCTGGTTTTTCGCGGGTGGAGGTTCCGGAGGGGATGTCCGGGTAGAGGGGGAGATTGAGGAGCTTGTCTCTAAAATCCCGTACCGGGCCTTCTTCATACAAGCGTACCATTATCAGCGTATCATATCACATGAAACTATTTAATAATTTTATCACAACAATAAACAATTATTACATCAATTAAATCATCAATATAGCAAAGAAAATGTGAAGTAAAAAATTTTTGTACACTCGTTAAAGTTGTAAATAACGTAAAGTTATATAAACATTGTCAAAACAGATCATATAATTGCAAATCAGCTAATGAAAACGGAATTAATGCAATGTATTTGTATGCGTACATATAGGATTAGATTTCATTTCAGTAGTGTAGAGCTCGTTTAATTTTTTCTTGAACGTTGATGTGGTAATACCAAAATTTCATAATTTACTGGGCAAAAAATTGTCAAAACAGAACATTTAATTGCAAATCAACTTATGAAAACGGAATTCACGCCATGTGTTTGTATGCGTACATATAGGATTAGACTTCATTTCTGTTGTGTAGAGCTCTTTTATTTTTTTTCTTGAACGTTGATGTGTTAATACCAAAATATCGTAATTTACTGGGCAACGATTTCCATTTTTTTGACGTCAGATGAAAAAAACATTTTGTAGAGAAGCAGTTGAACAGTGGTTATCAAATATTATTTGCTTTATTCCTTGATTTCTATAATTCGC